TGTGCGTGTGCGTGAATGTACTTACAAATGTATCTGTCTACGTATACTTATGTATATGTGTGCTTGTGTGTAATTACGTTTGTTTAAGGCGATTATTTAATATGCTTGAAGTAAGTGCATGACTATACTACCTGTATGTGAAACAAGTAATCTGTTCTGTTTAAATTGGGTTCGGAGTTTTCCATGGTAGTGTCAATGCTATACAAATACAGGATTTATATTACTTACATTTCTCCTTAGTCTCTCATACATAACACATGATAATAATCAAATGCTTTCTGTACGACTTTCGTATCTTAAAAACAGTGTTGAGGAGTTATCCACTACCTCCCTCATACATTGAGATAGAATGATATTGAAGGTCACCTCTGTAATCATATATGACATCTGAGTTGGAAATGTTGAATAGTTGTGCAATCAACGTGATCGCTAAATCATATAAGGAAGATATCTCTAAAATATCACGTACATCCAATATTCCAGACATTACTTCCTATCAGGTTGCATTCAACGAAGAAGTAAAAGGCAAAGCTAAAATTTCCCCATCAAAGTTATCTATTTTCTCCACAATTTGCTGTACTATGTAACAAGTAAAATCTTCCCCTCGGCGTCTAATTATAACCTGGAGCTGACTCGAGATCCACCCACCCACCCTAACCAGCTGTAAGGGGAAACGGTGGACTTATTCGCACAGCCGCATATTTCAACAATGGCAGCATCTTAAAGGCAGCTATATAAGAGGTTCATGAACGGCCCATCACTTCAGTGTACTTCAGGCTCAGGATACGTCCAGACCAGTGTAGGTGGCTCTGCGGTGATTTGTGCCAATCTTGTTTGTTAATTATTCGATAATATACACACGTACACACATACGCATCCGCGCACACACACACATATATAGACATACATACACATATATATGGACACATATATGCTTCAATAGAGAGGACATTTATTTTCTTGGATATAACTTAGTGAGTGATTAGCTTTATCCCCCTACAAAAAGGACATTAAGCTGTTATGTTTAAATAGGTATCATCTGCTCAAGCTTCACTAATTACAGGAGGGAAAGTTATTCTCTAAGTACACATAAGTAGGTCACATAAACAGATGACAAGGCTACGATAAATTTCAGTTGGGATATTGATCTCCATGTTTCTTTTTTACAAATAATCAAAGGAAGATTCACCTAGTGAACCGGCCCTTAATATATCCAAAGAGCTATAATTATTGATGTCATCAGATACAGACGTACATTGACTTGCGCTTCTTATGCATTAACATTTACACACAAACACATACATACTTATGTGTGTGTGTACGGGAATGTGCGTGTATGTAATTAGTGTGCGAACATGTGTATGATTATGTATATATATATATGTAAATATGCATATAAAGATATATATATACTTATATATATGTGTGTGTATGTGCGTGTATACAAACGTATATATATACACATGTCTATATATGTGTGTGTAAACATACACACACACACATATATACATATAAGTGTATATATACGTATGTGTATGTGTGTGTGCGCGAGCGTGTATGTATATGTATACATATTTGCGTATATGCGTGTGCGTGAGTGTGTACCCATATATTGTAAATATAATAGAAATTATAACTATTCTCTGCTTATTAATATATCCCATTTTCCCCTCCAGAGGAGACTCCAACCAACATGTGTGACGACGACGTAAGCCCCCTTGTGGTTGACAATGGCTCCGGCATGGTCAAGGCCGGTTTCGCCGGAGACGACGCCCCTCGCGCCGTCTTCCCCTCCATCGTCGGCCGCCCCCGTCATCAGGGTGTGATGGTCGGCATGGGTCAGAAGGACGCCTACGTCGGCGATGAGGCCCAGAGCAAGAGAGGTATCCTGACTCTCAAGTACCCCATCGAGCACGGTATCATCACCAACTGGGACGACATGGAGAAGATCTGGCATCACTCCTTCTACAACGAACTCCGTGTTGCTCCTGAGGAATCTCCCGTCCTCCTCACTGAGGCTCCCCTCAACCCCAAGGCCAACCGTGAGAAGATGACCCAGATCATGTTCGAGACCTTCAACACACCCTGCCATGTATGTGGCCATCCAGGCCGTGCTGTCCCTGTACGCCTCTGGTCGTACCACTGGTATTGTGCTCGACACTGGTGATGGTGTGACCCACACTGTCCCCATCTACGAAGGTTATGCTCTTCCTCATGCTATCCTTCGTCTCGACTTGGCTGGTCGTGACCTCACTGCCTACCTGATGAAGATCATGACTGAGCGTGGCTACTCCTTCACCACCACCGCTGAACGAGAAATCGTTCGTGACATCAAGGAGAAGCTTTGCTACGTCGCCCTTGACTTCGAGAGTGAGATGAACGTTGCTGCTGCTTCCTCATCCCTTGAAAAGTCCTATGAACTTCCCGACGGTCAGGTCATCACCATTGGCAACGAGCGTTTCCGTTGCCCCGAGTCTCTGTTCCAGCCTTCCTTCCTGGGTATGGAATCTGTTGGTATCCACGAGACCGTGTACAACTCCATCATGAGGTGCGACATTGATATCAGGAAGGACCTGTTCGCCAACAATGTGCTTTCTGGTGGTACCACCATGTACCCTGGTATTGCTGACCGCATGCAGAAGGAAATCACTGCTCTTGCTCCTTCCACCATCAAGATCAAGATCATTGCTCCTCCTGAGCGCAAATACTCCGTGTGGATCGGCGGTTCCATCCTGGCTTCCCTGTCCACCTTCCAGTCCATGTGGATCACTAAGGAGGAATACGACGAGTCCGGCCCTGGCATTGTCCACCGCAAGTGCTTCTAAGGATACTGCAGAGATATACCATTTCATTATCTTTATCATGCTTTCATCACTTCCATACAAAAAAGTTATATCATTTCGTCTACGAAATATTTCCTTTACTTAGAATCGATAATATATACAAAATAATCCTGAAAACGAGACGTTGTTTTTCTTCTAAGTACACCCTCGTAAAAGAGCTCATGTTTGTAAAATCCATCACTAGATGAATGAGCCACTAAGGTCTGATGTTAATGTGCTACTTTAGATGTTATGACTCCCAAAATTAGATGATGAATTGAGGTACCATATATCAAAGTCCTCATCAATAAGAATGGCATCAAATAATGTTTACAGGTTGAGGAATTTCATGAAGAGAAAGAAATGAAAATCCGTGGACAATTTGGAATATCCTCCTTGAAGCATTTATCATATAGTTCGTCAGATTAATGTCTACAAATATTGCTTACAAAAAAAGGAGGAAGTATGTTTTATAAAAAATATAGATGTGTGCATCTATATCAGGCATTTATATCTGCCTCTATCTATCTATCCATCTATAATCTCTGTCTGTCCATATGTGTCGATTTCTGTATGTATTTGTGTATCAATCTATCCATCTATGTACATACATATACATATAGGTGTGTATATGCGCGCGCGAGCGCACGCACACACACTCTCACACACACACGCTCCTGTAGACCTAAGAAACAGAGTTTGGCGAGAACATGTGCAGGAGGAGTTAAAAGCAAGACGCTCATTGGCGGAAGCATAAAAAAATCTTAATTTTAACCCACATGAAAACAACTTCAGCTTATCAAATTTACTCATTTAACTATATAGAGACCTTTTATGGGATTAAACAATATCATTCCGGCCATACATATGAAGATAATAATATAATGTTTAATAGCTACCGTCTCCTTTGTTATCAGTAATACGTGAATATGCCTTTAATCAACATGTATCTAGATGAAAGGAAAGTATATGTAAGTATCGTTTATACAGTCATCGAAGGTACAAAAATAAGAACCACTTTTTATGCTGTCATAAAAAATATAAATAATATTAACAAAAACAAAATAGATAAAATTACATTCTGCATGGTTATTACTCTATTTCCATCCAACTCTTGCATTATATGTAATTTCTTCTTGTAACATTTAGGAAAATAAAATCAAGCACCGTAAAACTTCATGAAATACTATCGCCAAAACATATTTATACACTAACATTGCAATGCATGTGTTCCCTCTTGCTTTATCATTCTCTCTCTTTCTCTATTCATCTCTCTCCCCCGCCCATTATCTCTATGACGCACGCACGCAAAACAAATATACATATTTTGTGCGCAAACACACACACGCACAAAATTTCAGCTTCAGTAATACCCACCAGTGGTTTAGTTTCACAGAGATTTATTGGGGTTCATATGCCAAGAAATAGACCAGAGTTTTAGTAATTTATATAAATTATTAACAATTTCCAGCTGCTTTGTCCGCTGAATCAACATGGGAATTAGCTGAAATGTTTATTATCTTCATAAATGATCTAGTTTGCCATACTGATTGTCGTATAAATGTTGTATATATATTGTGTATACATACATATATATACATATATATGTATATATAGGCTATATATGCATATATATATATATATATATATATATACACACATATCTGTGTGTGTGTGTGTATGTGTGCACGTACACACTCACAACACATACACACGCACACACACATATATACATACACACACATATATATGTGTGTATAGATAATTTATATATAGATTGATAAATAAATGAATGAATGAACATACACACATATATAATTTATCTATCACAGATAAATAAATTAATATATATACACATATATATGTATGTATGTATGTATATATATATGTCTACATATAATGCACACGCAAACACATGCAGTCATATACTAGAGTCACATTCATAACTTCCGTTAAACACAAAATGACGTTATCTCTTATTATTTTTTTCCTATTGTAATATGATCTAAAACAAATCATATGCCTCAGAGGCGACGTATGCCTCACGGGCTAGAAATTCGAC